CGACGGCTGGGTCGGAGGACCGCGCCGCACCTCCCGTGCGTCGCGGATGCATCGGCAACGCATCGGCGACGTCGGCGTGCAGAACATCGGACTCCACCTCGAGCCGCTTCGCCGAGGCATCGGCGGTACGGCGCGATCCGCCGACCCTGTGCACTCGGACCCCGTCCGAGAGGCCTGCGCTCGGGAAGGCTCGGATATATAGCCTGTCGCCCCCGCGGCCCCCCCGGCGACACGCCGTGCCCTGCGAGAGCGGACAGCGCGCCGCTCCGCTCCACAGGGGCGGGCAGCTCGGAAGCGCTCTCGGCCCGCGGACGCCCCGGGACCGAGAAGTGGACGGCGCGTCGCGCTGGAGCGCGGTGGGCAAACAAGCCGACCTCGCTTTTTGAAGGGGCCCTGGGACACACAAATAAATACACACAAATAAAGTGATTCCCCATATTTTCCTATATTTTCTAGGCTTTTGTCTTCCCGCCCACTTCCCATATTTTCCCATATTTTCTGGGAATCGCCGATTCATTGTGTCTGTGTGATTTTCCCCCTCCTGATTTTGGCCACCCTCGCTTCCAGGCGACTTGGTCTTGCCTGGAAGCGAAAAGCGGCGCAGACAGTTCACGCTCTATGAGAGGCGTGGTGGGCCAGAGAGGCGGCGGAGCCGTGCGCTGCCCCAGACCTCCCGAGACCACCGCGGAGCCTCCGCGTCGAGGCCTGCGCGAACCTGCCGGCGGCCTGCCGGCGGCGCCTTCTCGGAGCCCGACGGCGGCGACAGAAACCTGCCGCCCCCCCCCCCCTCGAAACCGGCCGCAAGAAACGGAGGCGCCGCCGCCGCGTCGAGGCGGCGCGCACCTGCTGCACCCCCAACCCCCGCTGCTCCCCTCTTGGCTGCTACGTCTGGGCAGGGCTGGGCCTCTCGCCGCCGGCCCGCGCCTCCGCTGCGCCCGCCGCCGCGGCGCCGCCGGCGGCCGGGCCGCCATTGCTCGGCGCGGCCCCCATCGGTGGCGGCTTTCTGGGGCGCCACCAAAACGCCCTCCAGGCTTCGCGAGGCGAGAGGGGGTGGGAGAAGCAGGGGACGTGTAAGGACACACGACGTACTAGCACTGCGTGCCTCTGTTGGAGACGCACGTCCGGCCTGGACATGCAGCACAAAGAACAAGAAAGCGCCCTACGGAGATTATGCTGAAAGATTCCCGAACGTGCGCGTCCTTGCGTGGCCGACGCACGTATCGTATAAGTATGCTTGGGTGGTGCCGAAAGCAAGGAACTGAGGGAGAGCTGTGATCAGCAGGAGCACGAAAAGGAGAGGGAAGCTGGAGCGGGCGCTGACGGCGACGGCGTCGTCGTCGTCGTCGTCGCCGTCGCCGCCACCTTTCCAGTCGCCGTCGCCGCGGTCTGGCCAGAAACTCTCGCTGGCAAAATACTCCTCGCAAGAAGAAACCAAAACTCCAAGGAGAGATCCGTGAGATTCGTGGCCCAATCCGCCCAAAGGCGCTACTGGGGGCGCTTTCCAGAGGGGACTAGTGAAGGGAAACTGGGACACACAAATAAATACACACAAACAAAAAGATTCCCCATATTTTCCTATATTTTCTGGGTTTTTGTTTTCCCCACCACTTCCCATATTTTCCCATATTTTCTGGGAAATCGACGATTAATTGTGTCTGTGTGTTTTTTCCCTCCTGAATTAGGTCGCACAAAACTTTCCCCGGAGCCCTCCAGACCTGAGCCGCCCCGATGCGCAACGCGCAACCCGCAGCGTGTTGACACGGAGCTCAACACGGAGACTGAAAGCGCACGTTCGGCGCGGCACGTTCGCGAAAACGTGGGCCAATACGCTGAGCCACCGCGCAGCATATTGGCACGGACGTTTTGAGTACGGTGGGTGCTGCGTACCAAAACGGGCGTATCGAGGCAGCTAAAGCGGAACGCGATTACCTTCGCGCCCCTAGAGGTAGCCTAGGCGGCGGACTTCTGTTTCGCAGCCCAGACAAACCAAAGCGGGCAAATCGAAAGGGACGAATCGAAGCGGACGACATGAAGCGGACGAGCTGAAATTCCGACGAAGTGAAGCGCGGTGGTTCCCGACACCGCGGGGATCGTTCAACCTTGAACGATCGACCGTTTCCTAAACGTCAGATCGTTCAACATCGACCGATTCTGGGTCGCCGGCGGCGCTCAACATTGAACGCCTGCGGAGGGGTCGCCGCTGGTCGACACGACGCGAACCTACCGTATACAGACTCCCCCAGCCGAGGCTGGAACCGCCAAAGCCCAGCGCCGCCCCCCCCGCGAGGCTGGGGCCGCGGCGGCGAGACCTCTGGAGGCCCGACGCCGAACTGCTGCCCCGCGCAACGGCCCCTGCACGCTAGCCGGCGCCTCCAGCTGCGGCAGGCGAGCGAGCGAGCGAGGGCTGGCGTGCGGAGGTCCGCGCCCGTGGAGGGTTGCTGGGCATTGGACAAAAAAACAACAACAACAAAAACACAAAGCATCGCCACGCGTCAGGACTCCTGCCTACGGCTCAATCAGTCCGCAGCTTGCACGGTCGTCCCTGCGACCGGATGCCCATTGGCTGCCACTGCAGCATTTTATGTGACCGTCTACCATATGTGGAACTCTCTGTCTTCGACAGGAGGGCAGCGTTCCGTGCTTGTTGCAGAGCAACCCACGATCTGAAGCCAGCGTTCTCGTAGGCAGCCTCGGCTCAATGAGTGGCCCTGACCAACCAGTCCACCCACGGCTCCATCTTCTCGTCGCTGGAACTCCCCTGGTGCAACCTCGGGGTGTGGACGATTTTCCGCAACATCCGTCTTCATTCAGTTTGTAGCCGCTGTTCTCTTCCAGCTGTCATTGTCCAACAGCCGCTCCCGTATAGAACTGTAGAAGTAATAACAGCGTCGACGAGCTTCAGCCGAGACTTGAGAGAATCATGACTGACACAACATATGTTACGAAACTTCCCCAAAGCGGCCCATCCTCTTTCCAGTCTGCGGCGAATCTCGGAATCATGGAACTCGTCGAAACACCGGAAGCACCCGAGATAGCGCCAGCTGCGGCAGGGCGGGGGACTTCGCTGCTGCCAGCAGCTCGGGCGTGGCGTCATAGGGAGGGCGAAAAGGAACGGGGAGCGAAGAAGCATGCACCTTTCGTGCCCCTTTCGGGCCCCAGGGGGCCCCTTCAGGGCCCATCTAGGGCACAAACATGCTCGTTTCTTCCCCCCCCCCCCCCCCCATTTCTCGCCCCCCGATCCCCGATAACGCAACGCCCGAGCAGCCAGGCGCGGATCTCCTCCAGGTTAGCGAGGCACCCTCGGCAAGCTGCACACCACCCGCATCCGCATCCGCAGAGGTAACACGCCTTCGTGCCCTTGTCGAGCTGGAACTTCGCAGCGCGCCCCTCGCGAGCAGCGGCGCGGTCAGGGGATCTGCCGCGCAACGGCGCATCCTTAGAAAGCTCCGCGAGGGGGCCCATTCGCTCACGCTCTGCCAGACAAAAGGCGCTGTATAGCGTCGAGAGCATGCGCTCCGAGAGGTGCTCGGCAAGGACTGCGCTCAGAGAGGTGCTCGGCAAGGAGCGGGTGCGCCGAAGAAGCATGCGTTCGAAGGCCATCTTATCAAGTGGAGGGGCGTTCTCGCAACGCACCTCACGAGATGTGCCAGACAAGGCTGTAAGTTGATTCGTGGCCTCCGGAATCGCATCGCGGAGGCAGTGCACTTTGACATGGCCACGCGGCAATGCGCCGCGTCCCATAGGACAGCGGTGCCACACTGCCGCTTGGCCAGTGCTGACAATGCTGGAGGAGAAATGCGCAGTGTCTATGGCGGCGGAGGAGGAGGAGGAGGAGGAGGAGGAGGAGGAGGAGGAGGAAGAAGGAACGCGAGGAGGACCAGGAGCAACAGGAGCAGCAGGAGCAGGGGTAAGACGAGCAGCCGCGACGCCATATCTTGACTCCGCGGCCTATCTTTGCGAAAGCGCGAGAGGGTCACGAGCTGACTCCTTGCAGCCGTGCGTGCGCGACGGGTGACGAGAAGGGCGAGCCGACTTGCTGCGGCCGCGCCGAGGCAAGCGCATCCCGCGCCAGGAAACCGCCGACCCCTGCCTGCCTCGGGCGATCAGGCCTGTGAGACTTGTGGCGGTTCCCCTCCCCCCGTGCCCCCCTCCGCATGGGGCCAAGATCCCGTTGGAGGGGCGGCCCCTCTGAGGGGCGGGCCGGTCAACGCGCCTCCTCAGCCCTCGGCTAAGAGGGATGGAACATTGCCCACCGAGCCACAGACGGGGCCCAACATGGGGTCGCGAGAGACCCCCAGGGAAGCCCAAAAGCCCGAGGGAAGCCCACCAACCCAATGAGAGCCTCAATGCTCAATGGGCCTCGACAGGCCTCTAGAAAGTGTTTAACAAGCCTGGAGGAACCCTAAGAGGGCAGTTCAAACCTTAGAGAAGAGTCCAAGAGGGCCTCAAGACGAGTCCAAGCGGGGTCTGGTGCACAGGAATCCCCTACACAGCCCCAGAGCTCCCAAGAGATCTTCAAGATGACCCCAAATTGCACGCCGATGCTCGGTCACATGCGCCTCCCTATCTGCTCCTCCTCCTGCTGCTCCTCCTCCTCCACTTCCTCCTGTGCTCCATCTCGTCCACCATGCCCTTTTCCAGTCCCTGGAGGAGGTACAGGGGGCACGTTCCCGAGCCAACGTGAGGTTCTCGAGGTGCCACTTCTCATCCACAACTTCAGACATGGATTATGGAATGGCACCGGGGGGGCGACTTACTATTCTTGGCGCTCGCTGTAGCGACATCCATGGCTGCGCGTGACGACCCGAGTCCTGCAAGACCAGTTTGCACACCAGGCCAGCGGCGCCAGCGAAAGCCGAGGACGACGACGACGACGACGACGACGACGACGACGACGAGCAGCGGGAGCTGAGCTGGAGCACGAGCACGGGGAGGCGCAGGAACAGAAAGCAGAGCCCGGCGCGCGCTCACTGCCTATAGGCCCCACCTCTGCGCCCGGCTCACCTCCGCGACGCCGGCCTGGCGACGGGCTCCCGCAGCTGCACCGCGGCGGGCGCCCGCACCGCGGCGGGCGCCGCAAGGCCTGCCGGCCCGAGGGGCCGCGCCGGCCGCACCCGCACGAGCCCCGGGGCGCCGGGGGCCGCCACCGAGGGCAGGCCCGCCGGGAGCGTCGGCGGCCACGGCGCTGCGGCGGCCGGCCCCCGCGGCGGCAGCAGGGCGTAGGTGCCGACGGGCGCCGCCGCGTGCCTCTTCGGGAGGCCCCGCGGCGGCCCGGCCGCCGGCCCGAGCAGCACGGGGAGCGGGGCGGCCCTCGGCTCGGTGCGCTCCGCGGCGGCGGTGAGGAAGGCGGGCTCGAGGTCGTCGGAGAGGCAGGCGTCGCTGTCCGTGCCCTCCTCCAGCTCCGCCGCCCTGGTGGTGCGGGCGCGTGCCGCGCGGGTGGCCGCCCCGAGCAGCAGGGCGCAGGCCGCGCCGCAGCACAGAGCCCCGCCGACCGCGGCCCAGCGCCGCACAGCGGAGGCGCGGTCCGTCGTCGTGCCTGGCGGGGTCTTCGGCTTGCCGAGGCCTGTTCCGTCGCTCGAGCTGGTGGGCTTCAAGATCGAGCCGGCGGCCTCACGTGCAGGAGTGCTGACCGTCAGCATGTCCCTGCCTATGTCCCTGCTTGAGTCCCACCCCACTGAATCTGCATCACTCGAATTCACCGAGCCGAATGCGACCGCGGTTGTATTATTAGTGAGCGTGCTGCGCAGGTCATGCTCCATGGCATCGGCGAGGCTTGCGTTCCAATCCGAATCTGTCGAGTGCGCGCGAGCGCCCGACACCAGCATCCCGCTGACGGCCGCTGCGCTACCAACGCCTTCCGCATCATCGGCCACGATGGCATTCTCCCGGTCGGAGGGGCGCTTGGAGGCGGTGGTATTCGGCTCCTCTTGGGTGAGAGCTCATGGGAAGGCAATATCCCCGAGAGCAAACCGAGAGAACCAGCGTGCCCAAAAAGTGCCGTCGAGGAGCCACTGCTCGCCTCGCCTTGACAACAAAAACGTCCCTCAGCCCCATCGTGAGGCCTCGGGCTTGCGCACAGACAGCCCCCCACCCCGGCAGTCCCGGCTGGCCTCAACAGGCCCCCCGAGTAGCCCAGGGCGGTCTCGACACCCCGACGCCGCCTCTGGCGGCGGCTCCCATGGGGCGCTCCGAGCCCCAAGGCTGAGGTGCTGAGACCGCCCTGGGCGACTCGGGGGGCTTGCCGAGGCCAGCCGGGGCTACCTGAGGGGGGCCCTGTCTGCGAGCAGCCCGGAGCCTCACCACTCCGTGACGTGCCGCCCTGTTTCCGCTCGGCCCGAGCTCCGAGGACCGCCCGGGAGCGGTGGCGTTCGGCTCTTCTGGCTCTGGGGTGCGCGCCGCGGCGCCGTTGCCGCTGAGGTCGCGCACGAGGGCGCACGTGTGTCCCGGCTTTGGCGTCATGGACTGGACGGGGTACCACCACAGCAGGCACCTCCCGTCGCGGGCCCAGCACTCCTGCTCCTCCTCCGCCTCCTCCTCCGCCTCCTCCTCCTCCTCCTCCTCCTCCGCCTCCTCCTCCGCCTCCTCCTCCTCCTCCTCCTCCTCGTGCGTAGCCATTTGGGCTCAAGGTGCTTTGCCCCCCTGCGGAGCCAGTGGATACCTGAAGTCCGAGGCCAGTGCCAAGAGTGTTCAGTCTGCCATTCCTGCAGCCAATGCCTCACGGGCTCCTGGAGGCCCACTCCGCTCTGTCCCCTGCCACTCCCCAGTGGAAGCCTCCATGGCATTGCCGCCCCGCCGAGGTGCGACTGGCCATCAGCGGAGACGCCTGGATGGGGCGCAAGCATCGTATTGCAATTTTTGTTTCACCAATGGCCGGCCGGATTATCGTCACCACACCATGTTGAAACTGCGTTTAGCCACGAAGGCCGCTTCCTATCGAGACGATTTTTGCTTCACGCCTGAGCGCTTGTGCGCTTGTAGCGGAAAGGCCAAACCATGTTAATATCACGTTTAGCCGCGATCGGCGGCGGCTCCTGGGGAGGAGGAAAGAGGAAGGAGGAGGAGGAAAGACATGGTATTGCATGGTATTGCAAATGTTGTGTCAATCCGAAAGACGCCTCACGGTGGTGCAGGCACGGCCAAAGGCGCGGCGATCCACGGTCACCGTGAGCTACAGAGCCCGCTCAAGCGTCCGCAGCTCATCGAAGAAAGGAAGAGCCAGGCGGACCAGGCCAAGAAGCAGCAGCAGCAGCAGCTTCAGAAAGAGCTCGCTGCGAAGCGGAGGGAGATTCAAAGTCTGCGTGCCCTCACAACTGGTGGCCAATCCGATACCAAGTTGGACCTCGTGCCCGAGGAGAGTGCAGCATCATGTACTGCCGAGGCGAGGAACAATGAGAGTGGTGCATCCATTAGTGCGATTGGCGACTCGAAAGACGCGCTCCTGATCCGAATCAAAGGTGTGTTGCAGCCGGAACTTGACACGTTACGCCAGAAGGTGTTCGATGAGAAGCCCGTCGCCGCGAAGTTGCACCAATTCGCTAACCATTGCCAAGCTCTCGAGAAGTGTTACCGACCAATGGCAGTCGTTCAGAGTCTGGAGAACCAGGCCAAAGACATGGCCACCAAGGTGGTGGAGGCCGAGGAACAACTTGCGGCAACGGTAAGTAAGTTCGCGGATGCGGAAGAGGTGCGTAAAGCAGCAACGAGTCTGATCCCCAAGCCCGTCGGTGATGAGCAGGTCCCGTGCCTCAGGTCCATCGTCTCAAGGTTCGATTCGTCAGAGGAAGCCATCGGCAAGATGCTTGAAGGACTGCGTGCAGAGCAGCCCCTTCACACCAGTGTCTTCGGGTGTTTTGGGAACTTGCGGGAGTTGGAACGGACTGCTGCTGAGAGTCGCACTCGCGTTGGTAGCGCTGGCTCGAGCAGCAACAGGGAGTGCACAGCCAAGCGGTGGTCATGGAACCGCCTCGGCAGCAGCACCCCCAGCCCCCAGCCCAGAGCCCTCCCGCAGAACAGATCCCCGTCCCGATGGATACGGATGAGTTGGCTAACGTTCTGGAGTTGTTCAAGAACGTCTTTGGGCCCGACCCTGCCGAGGAAGAATCGCAGTTGCGTACAACCATCAAGAGGAACAACGACGCAGTCGGGTCGCGCATTGCTTCCAAGATGGCGAGGCCAATTGCCTGAGATGCTGATGCGGCTCGCATGCACGTTTGGCATGGGAGCGGCGACTACCCCTGATGGCGCTGCGAAATTGATCAGCAGACCGCCAGCCGTCCAGTGCTATCCAGGCACCGAGTGCAAGTATGGCTCGTTTTCTCAGGATGCAAATATGTTGTAAGGCAGCTACTCATGGACAGCCTGGGAATCCAGGAAAACATTAAATTGCATGAAACATGTAAGAAAATTAGGTGCTGCGAAATAAATTAAAAACATGTCTCTGCTGCATGATTACGCAGAAACCGCTCGCTGGATTAGCGCACACGCTGAAATCTGCGCTCACATGCTGACGATCGAGTTGGGTCATCGGCAGCTGCCAGCTGCCCATCTGTCAAAGTGAAGTTCAAGAAGTCCAAGCTCTCGGTCACCAATTCTGTCACCGCCAACTCATCGTCCCATGGGCCCTTGGTCAAGCTGTGGGCAATTTCAGATTTCAGTCGTGGGGATATCTTGGAGCAGTAGCACCACAGTGACACGGATACGCTCCCTGATGTCCAGCACAGGTGTCAGAGCGAAAGCATGATTGTGATTCGGGCGCCGACTGTTCCGGCAGAGTGAGGAGGAGGAGGGACGGCATGAGGCGAAGCCGTCCTTGCGCCCGAGCACGCGTTTATTTCAAAGCCCCCAGCAACCCCAGATCCAGGATCCAGTGTTGTATCCAGGCAGTGTGGTGGCAACACAAGTGCAAACTGTGGTATGCGGGGAGGTAGTTCCGCTGCATCTGAGGAGCTGTCGTCGCACATCGGCTTTCCAGAGTAGGGGAATGCAGTAGACACGTTTCCTCGTCTGCGAGTCCTGCAACCCTCGTCAAAATTAACCTCAAAAATATCTTACGTGGTTGAACTGTTTGTGGGGAGGTACTGGACAGAGTAGCGGTGACTGCGAGGTACTTGTATGCGCGGCCCCTCCAATGTCGGTCATCATCGAACTTCCGAGTCGTTCCCGGTCAGAACACTTTTGCCCTGGCCTCGACATTGGAGGGGCGTCTATCGACATTGAAGGGAGCGCCGACATCGCAGGGGCGTGGTCGCCATTTTTGAGGTTCATTTTGACGAAGGTAGTAGTGCCCATCATGGGGAGGCCGCGTGAGATGTGTAGCAGAGTCCCTGTGGAGCCCGAGGTCCTCCCGACGGTGCCGCCCATTGGCTGTGCGCCTTTCCCACCAGTTCACGAATGGCGGGAAGTCCAAGACCGCCTACAACATGCTGCGCGTCCAAGGCCGATCTGTCACAGTGCTGGGGCGAGGTTCTGACTGGTTTCGAGGCATAGCTGCTCGACAGGCATGGCAGTGCAGATACGAAAGTCTGTCGCCTTCACCACGGGCACGCGGGACGCGCGGACTACAAGTGGCAGCGGCTGAAGGCAGCCAGACCCAGTGCACCGCCTGCGTTGTCGGCCTGGAGGGCCTTCAGCAGGTGGTTTCAGCATTCTTGCAGCGCACGTGTAAAACTTAGGTCATGCATTTGCAAGCTTGATGGTGTAATTGAATGTTGTCCTGAGGCAGAGAGCACACTCATGTGCATGAGCAAGGCAAGCTGCTGCATGCCATGTCCAATTTACGTAAGCGTGTGGAACGATGGCTGTGGTTCCGTGATCATCCCCCGCACGATGCACCTTTTTTTTCTTCTGAACCCATTTAGTAGATTCTGCCGTCAGGACTTTGACGAACTGGTTCAGCGCCTCACGGACCTCTCAGAAGTTGAAATACGCAGGCTCCTTGAGGAATCGTCTGCAGGATGGGCCAGGTTGGCCCACACGGCAGTCGTCAATGGTGCTGGTAAGGCACGTCGATTCTCTCGCATGCGTGAATTCAAGGCGTGGCAGGCGAATGTGCAGATAGCCGTTCGCAGCCCTCCGCAGAGAGCTGACCAGTGCATACATGATTGGCAAGCGACTCGGAGCATCGACGGGCGCGTTGGGGTGCAACTGCCCAGTGATGCCACGTGGTGCGCCGAGCACCCTGACATTTCCGCGCAAGACGCCAGGAATGCTTTGAGTGTTAGGAGGTAGGGGAGGAGGAGGGAGGGGGAGGGAGGAGGAGGGAGGAGGGGGAGGAGGAGGGAGGAGGAGGAGGAGGAGGAGGAGGAGGAGGAGGAGGAGGAAGAGGAGGAGGAGGAGGAGGAGCTCTGGGGCGGGTCGAATGGCGCCAAAGCGCGCTCGGTTGCACCTCGGACGTCGGGTTCAGACCCTGGTGCTCCTGTGCCGCACCGGCGAGCAGCTCCCGACTTGGCCTGTTGGCGGAGCCCGGACTCGCCTCGTTCGACTCGGCAAACCGTCCGGAGGCCATCGGCTCCATCGCGTTGCTCAACACTCCAGTCCGCAGAAAGGGGCCGAATCAAGAAACCCATTTTTCAGCGACGGGGAGGCCAGCAAGCGTCACCAGGCCTTCTGGGGCTCAGGAACTTCCAGAAGCTCTTCAGATGCCGCGTTCGTTCATAATGCGGAGGCGGAGGTGGCGGGAGCGGTGGGGGAGCACAACCTTTCTGTCCTGAGTGGCGTGTTCAAGCGCTACGAGTGCGCAATTGTTGGACGCCTCCCAGGGGAGAAGTTCCTCTTAGGAGTAGGTGGATGATTATGTCACGTTATAGGTGCCCCAGGTTCGTCCACGTGTTCAGGTCTCTGGGGTGCGGGAGTCGTTTCGAACCAAGGGACCCTCGCGAGTTGCAATTACGCGACCACTGTAATGCATGTACTTCTCCGCCGTGTTGTGGGCCGTGCCAATCGCCGCTTTAAGACGATCGCCCCTAGGCTGTTGATGGATGATGCCAGCTTCCAATGGTTCGGCCAGGATCTGAGAAATGCCGGCCAACTTTCGGCCTCGGTACAGTGGTTCGGCCACGAAGCGTTTCGCCCAGGTCTGACTCTGCAGGTGGTTAAGAGCGGACTGTGGGCCTCAGCGGCGCAAGCTGCATCTGGAGCAGGAAGGTCTGCCGAGATGTCGTGTGCTCCGAGGGCCTCGTCGCACGAGGCGCCTCGGCCGCGAGCCGTCTTCGGGCCGCCCGCCGCGCGCAACGGGAGCGCAGAGCGCTCGCAGGGGGGGTGCAAAGACGGCCACGACGGAAGCGCAGGCTGCACGCCCTGAGGCGCGGGGCCCCCGGTGAGGTCGACACCTTGTGGCGCACCGGCGGGGAAGCAGGCTCGCCTCCACGCCGTGCGGGCGCCGTGGGCGGGCTCCGGGCGGGGAGGGGCCATGCAGTCCTTGCCCTCTCGTCCCCACGTGGCCTCCTCCTCCTCCTCCTCCTCCTCCTCCTCCTCCGCCTCGGCAGGCTCTTC